ATGGGCATCTTGCCAGACCCCCTTTTTTCAGGCCCTCGCAAAACCAATTACACAGGTCTTTTCTGTTGTGGGCATCTTGCTAGGCCCCCCCTTTTCTCAGGCCCATGCAAACCCGATTATAAGTCTTTTCTGTTCTGGGCATCTTGTTAGGCCCCCTTTTCTCAGGCCCACGCAAAGCCAATTACACAAGTCTTTTGCATGCATTTTCACTGGTAGATGGCACACCTTCCCCCCACTTAAAACGCGATGTCCCCATCGCGCGACTGGTTCTCACTCGGAGGCACGAGACCTTTGGCCCACCAACCGCAGTCAAGGACACAAGCCCATCCGCTTCATAAAAGGAAGAGTGATCAGTTTCTCCCCAGCGGACAACGCCTCATCCTCCTACTCGGGCCGACCTTTCTTCTCTTTCGTGGCGAGCACCAATATCGAGGTTCCTCCTCACGTCCGCCAGGCAGGTCCAATCCAAGCCTCCCAGAGCCTCGTCTAGCCGTAAGAGCGTTCCTCGCGAATCGTTCCTCCCAAGTGGTAATTTTCTGGATTCCAGCCTCTTTCTTTCAAAAGAGTTGGGGCTCTCAATTAGTCTGCGAGTGCAATTACGAAGACCTCGCAATTAGTCCCGAAACGGTTGTAATATTCCGGCAGGGCAGTGTCAATACCCTATGGCGGTGACAGACTCCACCCAATACCTTCGCCCGGCCCCTCCCCTTGGACAGCGCGGGAAGCCGTGGTCCGGTCTAAACGGCCATGCCACCCCTCTATGACATGGCGTGTGGTTGGAGAGTAGCAAAAATAGAGTAGAGGAGAATGACTCTCTCGCCCATTGGGCTCTCTCGCCCTTTGACGTTTAGGCGTTAAATAGGAGGCGGAATTTGAACTCCCCGACTAAAGCTCGTTGTTGGGGTCAGTTCCGAACGTCCCACACCGGTCCAAGTGGTAGGTGCCTTAGTCCTTTAACCCTTACCCTCTCGAAGGAGGATCAGGTCGCGCTGGGACTTTTTCCCTTAAAGGGATAGAGGTCCTGGGGTCGCGGTGCGTGTACCAGTATCCTCCTCTTGCTGAGGCCAAAGACTAGAAGAAAAAAGAAATCCATTTCAATGCTATTTCCATGTCCATTTCAAGTTGCCTAAGGTCCCTGTTTATGCAATGCAATTTTTAGTACTCAGTCCAATTCCAATGCTCAATCTCATTCTGATGCTTCAATGCAATGTCTTTTCCAAGGCTGAATCCATTTCCAAGGCTGAGTCCAGTATCTCTTCAAGGGCTGAGTTCTTTCCAATCTCTTTTCCAAGGCTCAACTCTTTCCAATCTTTTTTCCAAGGCTCAACTCTTTCCAATCTCTTTTCCAAGGCTCAGCTCTTTCCAATCTCTTTTCCAAGGCTCAACTCTTTTCCAATCTCATGCATCTCAGGCAGCCATGCAAGGGGACCCCAGTGCCAATTCCAAAGAATGACCCTTGTCAGGGGCTGTGTATACACCCGTACAAATACGGCCCGTCTGTACTGCCGTATGTTCGTACGTACGGGCCCTCCTGTGCCCGTACGGCCCGTACGTACGGACTTGTGGCCCTCCGTGCGTTCTTTCACGGGGGGTGTTGAGGGGGTGGATGGACTAGGGGGGTGTCGGGTGTCAG